TTGGGCCATGTTATATCTTTCAAAGGCACTAAGGTTGATCCTAAGAAGATTGAGGAAGTTCATAACTGGCCTAGACCTACTTCATCTACAAAGATTCAGAGGTTCTTGGATTTGGCGGTATCACCAGTTTGTGGAGGGGTTTTCATATATCTCAGTCTCATTGACCAAGTTGACCCAGAAGGGTGCTCTTTTCAGATGGTCTGATGAGTGTGAGTTTAGCTTTTAGAAGCTCAAGACTGCATTGACTGCTGCCCCAATGTTGGTGTTGCCTTCATGTTCAAGATCTTATACTATTTATTGCGATGCATCGTGTATTAGGCTTATCGTAGTATTAATGTAGGACAGTAGGGTGATTGCCTACGCATCTCAACAATTGAAGGTTCATGAGATGAATTACCCTATGCATGATTTAGAGTTGGAAGCCATTGTTCAAGAGCTGAAGATTTGGAGGCACTATCTATACGGTGTTCCATGTGAGGTCTATACCAACCATCGGAGTCTCCAACATCTGTTCAAGAAGAAAGGCCTTAATTTGCAACAGCAAATATGGTGAGAGTTGTTAAAAGATTATGATATCACCATATTATATAATCCGGGGAAGGCCACTATAGTGGTCTATGCATTAAGTAGGAAGGCCAAGAGCATGGGTAGTTTAGAATATTTAACAGTAGTGGAGAGACCACTAGTTATGGATGTTCAGGCTTTGGCTAATCGATTTGTGAGATGGGATGTTTCAGATCCTAGCTGGGTTCTTTCTTGTGTTATGGCACAGTCATCATTGTTGGAGCATATCAAGGCTCGCCGATTTGATGATCCTCACTTGTAGGTGTTGAAAGACATGGTGTAACGGGCGGTGCTAAAGAGGATGTGATTGGAGATGATGGTGTTATGCGACTTTAAGGCCAGATTTGTGTTCCAAATGTTGATGGGTTGAGAGAGTTGATCCTTGAGGAGGCCCACAGTGAATGCTATTCCATTCACTTAGGTGTCACGAAGATGTACAATGACTTGAAACAATACTATTGGTGGCGAAAGATGAAGAACTATATTATTACATATGTATCTTGCTATTTGAATTGTCAACAAATGAAGAAAGAGCATCAGAAACCGGGTGGATTGACTCATATATTGGAGATACCAGAGCAAAACTGGGAGCATATCATTATGGATTTTATGGTAGGCTTACCATGGACCTTGAAGAAATATAACGCAGTCTGGGTTATTATGGAATGGTTGACTAAATCCATACATTTTATTTCGGTGATGACTTACTATTCTTCAGAGCGGTTTGCTCAAATTTACATCCGAGAGATTATCTACCTCTACGGTATGACCATTTCTATCATTTTTGATCGAGGCACGTAGTTCACATTGCATATTTGCAGAGTCATGCAATGCGAGTTGGGTACGCGCGTCGAGCTAAGTATCATGTTACATCCTTAGACGGACGGACGATCCGAGTGTGCTATTCAGATCTTGGAGACATGTTACGTGCTTGTGTTATTGATTTCAGAGGTTCATGGGACCAGTTCTTACCTCTAGAAGAGCTTGCCTACAACAATAGCTATCCGTCGAGAATCTAGATGGCTCCGTACGAAGCATTAATTGGAGGCGATGTCATTCGTCGATATGTTGGTTTGAGCCTAGAGAGGCTAGACTATTGGGAACTAATTTGGTCTGTGTGCTATGGAAAAGGTTAAGGTGATTCAAGAGTGACTTTGTACAGCTCAATCACGGCAGAAAAGTTATATGAACTGAAAGGTTCGAGATGTAGCTTACATGGTGGGTGAGAAGGTTCTTCTCTGAGTGTCGCATATGAAGGGTGTGATGCGGTTCGGGAAGAAGGGATAGTTGAGCCCAAGGTTTATTAGCTCGTTTGAGATCTTGTAGAGAGTTGAGGATGTTGATTATAGGCTTGCATTGACTTCTAGCCTAGCAAGGGTACATTCGGTATTTTATGTTTTTAAGCTTTGGAAGTACCACGAGGACAACTCTCATGTTTTGGACTTTAGCACGACGCAATTTAATGAAAATCTGACTTATGAGGAAGAGCTGGTGGCTATTCTAGACCGGCATGTTCGTAAGTTGAGATCCAAGAGTTTTCCTTCTGTAAAAGTGCATCGGAGGGGACATCTGATTGAGCAGGCTGCGTGAGAGTCTGAGTCCGATATACGGAGTAGTTACCCCCACCTTTTTACCAGTACAGGTACTTTTCTATATCTATCAAGGACGCATGTTTCTTTTAGAGGCAGAGAATGTGACGACCCGATAGGTCCTTTAGAGTACTAGCCTTTATTTTTGTGTTGGAGACCTCTGTTAGCTCCATTTGATGTTTCTTGATTTGCGTGCATGGTCCGTGTCATTTTTCAAAAAGTTTTTATGTAAACATTTGAAGTAAAAGTTGTTTAAGCTTAAAATGGGACTTGAGTTGACCACAGTCAACATTCTTGGTAAACAACCTCCAATTGGTGTTTTGACAATTTTGAAATGTTCGTATATTGTTTTGGATTGTACTCACGTTTGGTTGGGTTCCGGGGTGACTCGAGCTCATTTCGATGCGTTATGTTAAAAATATGAAAATGAGTTTTAAAGTTGAAAATCATGAGTTTTGACAATCGATTCTTGTTATTTGATGTTATTTTGATGATTTGTGATAGCGAGAAAGTTTGTAGGATGTTATTACACTTGTGGGAATGTTTGGTTTAGAGTCCGAGGGGCTTGAGTGAATTTCAAATGTGTTACGAAAGAGTTTGGTTGATTTTTAAACTGCTGGTGCATTCTAGTTCCGGTGTTCAGTCGCTGATCTCGCTTTTGCAGTCAAGAGATTGCATTTGCGAGCATGGTCTAGGGTTGGTTATACTCGTACTACACTTTTGCATTTCTTGTGCAAATTCTGATGTTGATCCCAATGGTGCGTAGAGGAGATTTGTCTAGGTTGGCTTGCCTAGGAGACTTGAGGTAGAGTTGCTGGCGTTCGCAGCCCGTGAAGTCCCCTTATATTATGTCTTTACTATTTATTTTGTTTCAAACTGTTGTATATTGTTCAGACCATACTTTATAGTACTATTGTTGCTCATGTACTGATAACACCGGATTTCTGAGATTCGTCTAGACCATATAATTTATGGATTTATTTTATGTATTTCAGATTTACCATGTTATATTTCGTGTTTTCGTACGTTAAAGTTCCGTCATAAGTTAATCAACACAAGCTCGGGAGTGAGATTATTTTTGAGGTTATGAGTATTTATGCTATTTATAACAGGTGATAAGTAAGTGTCGTGAAGGTTAGAGGGTAAACAAGTCAAAGAAAATGAGTTTCGTTGAAGATTGTCAATTTGGGATAAAATACGGTCCAAGTTATAATACTAGGTTTTTATGGACTAGTGTCATACAAGGTATCACATGACCATGGTATCAAGGCATACAAAGTGTGTTAAAAGTGATTAGTATTTTAAGTAAATTAATATATTACCTAATTATGTTAATAATGGGTTAATTATTGATTTGGGTGGGAAGTTAGAAAATCAATTGAAAATTGGTGGATAAGTTTGGTGGAAACATTACCCCAACGTGGCAGCAAGGGATTTAATTGCTAAAACCAAATAATGACTATTTGGCTATTTGGCTAGGTGGCATGTTTAAGGGATTTTGGCAAAATAATCTTTACAAAAGTGGGACCCATAACCACAAGTATAAGAGATCTTCCTAAATAATTAAGTGGGATGTGTATGTTGCTAACTAACTGATGGGAATTCTCAAATGGAATTCATATGAACCCCTATAATGCTAGCGTGAGTTGCAAATTCTAAAGGAGGACGGTACAACCTTTCTCAAGAATATCATACGGATTTCCTCCTACTTCAATCTCGCCGTTACGTATTTTATCGCGATTGACGTGTATTGAAAGGATTGTCAAGAAAATCGGCTCAGGTATGTTAAGGTTATCCCTTCTTTCCTTTTGGCATGATCCCTATGATACAAATGAAACGAGCAAAGGCACAACTTTCATAAATGCCTCTATTCATGTTAAGGTTATCCCTTCTTTCCTTTTGGCATTATTATTATATCTTCTGCTCATGGGCCTCAGAAAAATACGTAGTTGATAAAGTTTATCCGAAGACATATTGATCATATGACATTCCGAGAAATCTTATTAACGTACTTCTTATGCATTTCATTCATTTATACATGTACATTGACCCATGACCAGATGCGTTATATACGCGTATATTATATGTATATGGGATATGGAAAAAGGTTACGACATTATATACGCACCACCACCTGATCAGTTGGTATACGTTGATGATTTCGCCCACAGAGGCCGAGATAATACGATGGGATGCCCTCAGAGGCTTGATGATGTTATGTACACATATACATATGCATGATACGACCTTTATACGCACATACATGACATTATAAATATTTCAGGATTCACAAAGATATTTAGACCTACAGGTGAATTTCTTTACTCCATATTTCTTTATGTTTCTTATGTACTGATTTTCATACCTTACATACTGGGTACATTATTCATACTGATGCCCCTATTTTCTAGGCCATGCGTTTCATGCCCGCAGGTGTAGGTAGAAAATCTAACGGTCCCCCTTTCTAGGATCTTTGATTAGGGAGAGTTGGTGTGCTCCACTTAATCCGGAGCTGTTATTAGTTTTGGTTTTGTATGTAGATACGGGTACGACAGGGCCTAGTCCCGTCCTTTATACAGTTGTCACTCTAATAAAGGTCTGTAGACAGTTATATATAGTTGGATAATACTGTGACGATTTGCTTTGTCATCGACATTCTATTGAAATTTTTGAGTATTTTTGTTAGGGTTTAAATATTATAAATATCTCCCAAGATGTGCCCAAAAAATAATTATCAATCATCGTCTTATATTCATAGTTTAGCTACTTACATTCCCCTTTTAAACATTTTCAAGAATTACATGCCTCAAATTTTCTTTCCAAAAAGGTGAACTCCACTACTCGATTTCCAATTATCTTTTCTTTAAGTTTAAAAATGTAAAAGAGTTCCTAGAATCAAATGCGCAAATTCCCCAAGTTGGTACTATTTGCTTCGACAATTTGAAGAGCAAGAACTCTCAATCTACTTTACAAACGAAGGGCAGCTCATAATGAATAGGAAAGGTATGTTCTCCGCACAAGAATCCACAATATCTGCACTTAGTTCAGATAATTTCCATTAATAAAAACAAAGAATAACTATGGAAATGGAATATGGGTATATATCCTTTGACAATCTTATCATGACATTCTAGATATGGGTTTTATCTGGTCAAGATTTATTGACTGAAATATGAAGTAGTCTTTAGGTTTTTCCCCTTAAAGTTTAGTACTTTTTGATAATAAACTGTTACATCCAATAGACATTTGCTGGATTTATCTGATTGTTGGTGGGTGTTTGATTTTATCTATTATTTGCAGATATCTACTGGAAGACTTTGGTATGTGTGCCTGAGTGAAGAGAAGTAAACAAGGGAGCTTGATAATCTTGAAAATGGGGTTCTTGAGGGGAAGGAGAATGTGGGTCATTTTGGATAAAGGGTAAAAAGAACCTTACCCATTATTTTGTTTTGTTTTATACCCATTTATGTCAAACCTGGCAAGTGTTTGTTAAGTAGCTGAATTGCTGAATAGATTGTGATAATGGAGTTGCTTTTTACTTTTATCTCGTTATAGCAACTTCTGTATTGAGCAACGTCCTAGAGGTAGCGCATATCAAATATAATAACTTATTTTTATTGGAAAATATTTCTTAGATGAGTGCTCTGAAAATTTCTGCTTTGGAAGTAGTATTGTGCTAAAATGAAAAATGTAGCTCCATGTTGATTAATTTTCTAACACTTCGTTTTACATAAATTACTATATAACATATATGACTATCAAGTTTCCTATTGGTGATTATTATAGTGATGCACCAGCCAGAAACTAATTAATAATGGTGGATATGCTCACGGATTTTAATTTTGAGTTTTTATTTCTTTTTCTGGATTTATGAGTCTGTGAGACCTTTCTTTTCCGCTAAGCCATATTCAGTTTTTTCTTGGTAGTTTAGCAGTGGGGCATGCATGCAGAAGATCCATAGTATGACCAAGCAAATCTTGGAACTTGTGGGAGAGGTGGTCCTTCAAAGGTAGGTGTATGATTGCCTGAATGGAACTTTATTGCTTTCTTCACTTGCCAATCCCATGTTTAACTTAGCTTCTTAGTCAATTTTGATCATCTATGCGCTTATGTGTCCTAACTTGTTTGTCAAATACACCTATTAGCTGCAGCAACACCATAGAACTTGATTGACTCTGCAATTACTTTTGTAAGCTTAATGAGTAAAGCACTGGTATACTTCTAAAGGTCACCTAGTGCCATGTGCCAACTGTTGCCATGAGACGTCTTTACACTTTAACTTCTGAACGTTCTTGTCCTTCCGAAGACCTTACTCCTTGGAGAATGCCAGAAATTAGTATTGCAGTTTAACTTTCAGTACTTGATTCAAGTTCTGAGAAAAGAGAGGTCGAAGTAGAAGGTAAGAGGAGAATCCTACACCGTTAAGCTAAGTAAGATGACAGTAATGAGCATGCTTTCATTAATTTAACTTTGTTCGAGTATTAAGAGATGAGGTTAAGAAGTGTAGAGCATGTGGGATTCAACAGTTTCTTCATGATCTTTTCATAATAGAAAAAACGAAATAAGTTTGTGGTTAGAAGAGTAAAGTTGATCTCACTAGTGTTTTTCGTGTTATAAGCATCCGAAACGTTCTTTCTTTTAGGAAGAGAGCCTTGGCGCGATGGTAAAAGTTCTCACCGTGTGACTTAGGAGGTCACAGGTTCAAGCCGTGGAAACAACCTCTTGTAGAAATGCTAGGTAAGACTGCATAAAATAATACTCAATGTGGTTCAGCCCTTCCTCGGACTCCGTACATAGTGGGAGCTTATTGCACTAGGTTGCCCTTGCTCTCTCCTTTTCGAAAATGAGAAGTTGATCAATTTAGAGAAAGATGGTAGATACAAATAAGTTTATTGCCATGTCTGCCATTTGAAAACTTACTTGATCTACCACCTTTTTATATGATCTATTTTACTACTTAATCCAGTCGATTGAGTGTTTTATATGTGTTTGATATATTGATGCCCGATGCTGCTTGCATACTAGATTTCTATTTTCATATATATATATAGAGAGAGAGAGGGGGAGAGAGAGATATACATTCTTAAACCTTTTATTGTTGATTTGTGTTTATATATATATATATATATATATATATATATATATATATATATAGAGAGAGAGAGAGAGAGAGAGAGAGAGAGAGAGAGAGATACATTCTTAAACCTTTTATTGTTGATTTGTGTTTCTCGGTTAATCAAACAGGGCATCTCACGGACAAAGTGGTTTGGTTTTTTCAGTTTTGTTGTTTAATTTCTCTTGGGACTTTTATCTATTGAAAAAGAAAAAACAAGTTCCATAGGATTTAATTATCAAAAAAATTTCTGTTGGACTCTTTTTAGTTGTTGGGGATGCGTAGGCTGACTGAATACAGAATCTGATTTAAGCCGTTCAGCTATCTTTTCTTTTTATCTGATTTCATATATCCTTGTCTATTTGCAGGTCTGACAATGCATAGAAGCTACACCGATTAGTGCTGTTCATTAATGGAGATAGCCGTAAGTGTCTTTGCATAGTATAAAAACTAAAAGAATATATTTTGGAGCGTGTGTCTTATCACAGAAGCCATGGAAATTGGAAATAAAGAGGAAAGAGTTAATGCAACAATTTACTTAAAATTTTGTTTTTCCTGGAAACGTTTCATGATATTTCTGGTGATTTGAAAGGCAAAAGCTTAAGCTGAGGCAACCCACCTTTGGCCAGACAAGGCACTGCCAATAGGGTCTGTGTTTTGAGTGTGAACATTTTCTTATCTTTTAACTTGGAAGTGCTTTAATAATTCGAAAAGATTAAACGAGCCAAAAAATGAGAATCCTTAGAAGTTGGAAAATATTTACTTTATTCCCCTCATATTTTGTAATGTAAAATTTTAGACAGATTCCATTTCCTCTTAATGTGTACACATGGCGTAGACTCATTTTAACTATTGATTATACCTGTGTAAATTCCTCTTTTCTATGACGGGGAGGAAAGCTCAAGGTTTAGCTCCACCTGGAGGCCTCAGGGCAGTTAGGCCTTCCGTTGCCTCAAGGGACATGGCCATGAATTTGTTTTAAAACGTCGATTCTCGCATCTACTTCTTTGGCTGCTCCTACGGTTGCATTCGCTCTCCTATGCTAATAAGGATTAAAGTATGAACATTATCATTTCCAGGCATCATAGAAGTTGACATCATGCTTTTCTTTTACTGATTTAGCTGTTTATTGTTGCCAATAATTTATCACATTTTCTGACCTATAACATTCCCCATTGCAGCCTAATGAATCAAAGACACCAAGCAAGATCGGAGATAGACCAACCAGTGATGTTGTCGTAAGGCTTAGAACGCAGGATGGCCGTGATGATTGGCTTTACTGCCATTCACATATTCTTGTCGAAGAGAGCAAATATTTTGCTGATCGGTTATCAGATAGTTGGCCAACATGTCAGATTCTTGACTCGCGCAATTGTGTTGAGGTTTACTGTGAAGAACCTGATTTGGACTACCATGTCAATGTCCTTCGACTCTTCTATGTCATTGCAGATAGTTTAATGACTGAAATTTGCCACGGTGTCAGGAATGCCCTTGGCATTTTGCGGGTTGCTGTCAAGTTTGGATGCCCAAGAATTATTGCAGTATGTGTGGATTATTTGGAAGCAGTCCCATGGGAGGAAGCTGAAGAGGAGGAGCTATTAAATACTATACCAGGCATGGGATCTAAAGTGGAACCAGTACTTGCTCGTCTCCAACCAGTCAATCCTGCTGCAGTAATGAAGATTTTTCTAGCGGCCCTTCAATTTGCTACATCGTCACCTCCTTCACCTTTGAATGATCTGAAAACCACTGCTCAAGAACAGCTTGAATACCTGCTTACTGAGGATGATGATGCTCCTTTACTGACTGCCGATGAAGAAATAAAGCTAGAAGTCATACGATGTGCCAACAGGCTGTTTGATAGATTTAACAACCTTGTAGAATCTCTACTGTGTGATCTCCAAGAATCAATTTCAGATGCTGGGAAATTGCAATCATTGCATTCCTGTTTAACAGACTTGTCATGGGCATGTCAGATATTAGGAAAGCTGGAAATTATGAGAGATTTTGTTTGCAGCTGGACAGAGTTGTCAATGAAACTAGTTAAAATTGTTCAACAAAAAGAAGCAGAAAATCAAATTCTAAAAACAATGCTGAAGGTTCTTGAGGTGACAGCAAAAGTATTAGAGGCAGTAGGATATGGCATAGTTGTGTTACCTACTGTAAAACGACTTCACATGGTGAAACTCTGGCTTCCTTTTGTCCGATCCATGAAGCCTTTAGTTGATTCTTTCACCGAGGAAACTGATGATGATCTCACAATAAAAGTCGATAGTGAGTTATGGCAATCCTTGGAGTCAGCATTTGTTTCCATTATACTTGCATTGCCATCAGTTGATCAGGCAGATATTTTAACTGAGTGGTTGGAAAATCAGCAGATTCAATATCCAGACCTCACCGAGGCATTTGAAGTGTGGTGTTATAGGTCCAAGGTTTCCAAGCGAAGGCTGGCAGCACTTGGGGAAGATCACAATACAGCTAAGACAGTATGACTTCTCTGTTTTTCTTTTTTAGCCAATTCTAGGATTTAGGTTGTATAACCGATTTTTGGTGGAAATTTTGTGTTATTTCTTTAACATAGCTGAACTGGTAAGACGAATGGTAAAATCACCTTCTCTATTTTTGTTTCCCTCACAATGTTTTATGCTTAATTTTCTATGAAGTATGTCAATCTTTCTCACCAAGATGGTTGCATAACTAATGATTGACGACAACTTAAGTTCTTAGACTGAAAGCTTACTCTTGACAGCTGATGTTCGTTGCCAAATTTGTGTCTGTTTGTTAGTTTTTAGGCATTAGTTCTATTTCAGCTTTCTTTTTTCTTTAATAATTTAACTGAGGTTTCTCCTTGTAGTGCTCCCTCCCTTTGAGCTGGTAAGGCTGATGGTTACTCTCTACCCTTAATCGAGTGCTCGAAATTGTTGCAAGTCTTTCGAGCGAGTCGTTTTCCTATGAAACATTGACCACTTGTACTTGTCTTTGGCTATTTTCCTTCTAGAGGATGAAATTAGAACCAGAAAAGGACGCCAAGTGATACACTGACAATATAACGATTGATTTTCAGTTGCTATGTTGTTATATCCTTCTACACTTGGCATTTATTTTATAAAACTGGTCACAGATATGGCTGTTTTTTTGTTTCTAATATTTTTTTTCAGCCACTGGCCTTCTTTCATGAAATGCGTTCAATTTCGGCCACAAGTGCCATGTATGAAACTAGTAAAGATATACTAGTTCTTTTGTTCCAGGTGGCGTTTCTCTCTCCTTCCGATCTTCTTTGTAAGAACGTTTTCAATTTTGTCCATTCATTACAAGGAGCTTCTGAATTTGGATAGCGTGACATGAATGGAGCATTTTACGTCCTTTTCTTCCAACAAATTTTCTTTGTTGTGAAAGTATGTTATTGTATAATTGAGAAATTGCTCCCAATGTTTTGGTTTAGTGGTGAGAGTACAATATATGACGTGTGGGTGTAACGATCGGGCCGGTAGTTTTGAGTACTGGCTACCTTTTCTGTGTTCCGAGACTTTTCACAGCTCACTTTGATGATTTATGACTCGCATGCATGATCTGTGTCGATTTTTGGAAAGTTTAAATTTGAATTTTTAAAAAAATATGATTTTTGACTTTAAAAATGACTAGAGTTCACCTTGGTCAATATTTGTAGTAAACGACCTTGGATCGGTATTTTGACGATTCTGGTAGATTCGTATGATGAGTTGGACTTGTACGTACGTATGGTTGGGGTACCAGGTGACCCAAAGCCATTTCGGCGCTTTATGTGAAAAGTTGGCAAAATTGAGTTTTAAACTTTGAAAATCTTAAAGTTTTGATGATCACTTCTTGAATTTAGATGTTATTCTAATAATTTGAGCTTGCGAGGGAGTTTGTGTGATGTTATTACACTTGTGTGGATGTTCGGATTGGAGCCCGAGGGCTTAGGTGAGTTTCAGATTGATTTTGGATCAATCTGAAATGTGGCAGGTGGCCTATGTCCTTCACGAATGCGGTACGTGCTCCGCGAACGCGAAGAGCACCTGACACCCAGGTATTTAAAAAGTTGAAAATCGTGATATGACCATCTTTCATCATTTTTGAGACCAAGATCACGGATTGGAGATATTTTTTGAAGAGATTTTCATTGCAACATTATTGGTTAGTGATTTTCATCTAGTTTTGATTTATTTTTATAAACACCCATAGATTTTTATCCTTAAGTTTACTAGTTTAAACGTAGAAATTGAGGGTCTCGGGTAGAATTTAGGAATTTTGTAAAATTAAGATTTAGACCTCAAATTGAGGTCAGATTTCGAATCAAATTATATATTTGGATTCGTGGGGTTATGGTTCATCGGGATTTGGTCTCTATTTCAATTATAGATCGTGCGAGCTTGGGTTGACTTTTGGGATTTTGGCAAGTGTTGAACCTTTATTGATTGAGGATGTTTTCTTTTATATTGTTTGACTTCCTTGGATGATATTTGACTAGGTTTGTTTGTTTTGAAGAGTATTTCTAAAGAAGACGGTATTTGATTATGAAAATAATTTCGGAATGAGGTATGTGTCTTGCCTAGCTTTATTTAGAGAATTTTTCTAATATATGATATTGTTTGCTATATGGAGGGGGGCGTGATGCATATACGAGGTAACAGACATATATGCATGTGTCGGGATTTTCATGCTCGGGAGGGGGATTATATGTTTCTTTGTGCCTTGTTGAACTTAGTGATGCCTTGACTTATGCTTCACTTATGTAACGACTCGGTCGTTCGTTCTGAAAGTTATAGCCCTATTTCCCCCATCTATGCTTATTTATATGTTGTTCAGCTGTGTTGAGTTGTATCGAGTTGGTAGGTTTGAGTTCGGAGTAGTTTATGAGTGAAATGAACACTCAGTCTCTTAGTTAGAAAGCTAAGTTAGAAAAGTCAATCGGAAGTTGACTTATGAGTAAACGAATTCGGATTTGGATTTTATGGTTCGATTAGCTTCGTTGGGTGATTTAGACTTAGGAGTGTGTCCAAAATGTAATTTGGAGGTATGTGGTAGAATTAGGCTTGAATTGGCGAAAGTTGAAAGTTTAGAAGTTCTTAGGCTTGAATTCGAGGTTGATTTGGTGTTTTAATGTTGTTTTGGGTATTCCGGAGGTTCGACTAAGTTCGGATAGTGATATATGACTATTTGGAATTATTGGTTGAGGTCCCGAGGGCCTCGAGTGAGTTTCGGATAGGTTTGGGTTGTGTTGCGCTCGTTTTTCTTATGTTTCGACGCCATTTCTCCAAGCATAAATGATAACACATTGAATAAATGAACTCTGATTTCTTTTTTGATTGAAGTATTAGATCCGTATCGTAATTACAGACCCGTAGTAAAAGAATCGTCGAATTTGGATATCGTATGAGGATTTTACGGTTATTTTACTAAGAATTAGATTGCTGGATTTTTTCAAAGTAATTACGAAATTGCCATTGACGGCGTATTTAAAAATCTGCACTATTTGCAAATATTTAAACCTACATATCTCATTCATTATAAGGTCAAATTGAGTGATTCAAAAGCCTAACTTGACTAGAATTTCACAAGCAATCCATTGAAGGTATAAAAAGTGAGTTTCGGGATCGTTTGGCATGAGAAACGAGGCAGAATAACAGGCAGAAAAATATATAAAATAAGGGTTTGCTCATTCGGTCATATTTTGAGTTGGAGAGCTTGGATTTGGGCGATTTTGGAGGTGATTCTCACAATATGGATTGGGGTAAGTGTTCTCTACTCGATTTTGATTATATTTCATGAATCCATCTTCGTTTTTGGGATTTGATTGATGGTTTCAAAGTGAAATTGAGGGAGTTAGGGCTTGAGTTTTAAGTGAGGATTTGAGGGAACAAACGGAGTCCGATTTTGACGAATTTTATATGGTTAGACTTGGGAGAAGACTAGTATTATTATTCTATTTTTGACTGATTCCGAGACATGGGCCCGGGGGCTGGGTTTTGGCCGATTTTGGATTTTTGGCATATTTTGTAATTTTTATTGTGGAATTCGATTCTTTAGCACATGTTGATGGTATTAACCTGATTATGGTTAGATTCGAAGCTTTTGGAGACTGAGTCAAGAGACGAGGGCATTCCGAAGTAGGATTTTACGCTGTTGAGGTAAGCAACAGTTTTAACTCTGGCTTTGAGGGTATAAACCCCGAGAATTTGATATCATGTGATTGTTTGGAGGTGATACCCATGCTAGGTGATGGGCGTGTGGGTGTATACCCCGAGGGATTGAGACTTGGTCCATCCCGTGAGGCCTCATGGCCATTATCTGTGTTTACATAGTTACTTGTTGCTGAACTTGTCTGCCTTCATGTTAGAGATCACGCTTAGGCTTTATTCATGCTCACATTATTTGTACTCAGTCATAGAAATTATTGTACATGTTTACCTCAGTCTCTATTATTTACTAATATGCTTTGATACTTGATGTGGGTTGTGTCCTCTTATTTGTTGATGATGGTGAGGATAGTGAGGTACATGATTGAGTAAGACCAAGGGCCTGGTTGTAAGGTTATTAATACCACAGCGCGTAAGTTGTCCGTGTAGCACGTGAGTTGACCGTGCGGGTCCAGATATTTATACCATAGCACGTGAGTTGTTCGCGTAGCACGTGAGTTGACCGTGCGGATCCAGGTATTGATATGATGGACTGGTTGTGAGGATATTAATACCATAGCGCGTGAGTTGTCCGCGTAGCACGTGAGTTGACCGTGCGAGTCCAGGTATTTATACCATAGCGCATGAGTTGTTCGCGTAGCACGTGAGTTGACCGTGCGGATCCAGGTATTAATATGATGGACTGGTTGTGAGGATATTAATACCATAGCGCGTGAGTTGTCCACGTAGCACGTGAGTTGACCGTGCGGGTCCAGGTATTTATACCATAGCGTGTGAGTTGTTCGCGTAGCACGTGAGTTGACCGTGCGGATCCAGATATTGATATGGTAGCACGTGAGTTGACCGTGCGGATCCAGATATTGATATGGTAGCACGTGAGTTGTTTGTGCTTAGCGCTTGGACTTTGGGAGCCCATCCGGAGTCTGTACACACCCATAGTGAGCGCAGAGTGTTGAGTGTTTTGAGTGTGTTGAGTGCTGAGTCCGAGTGATGAGTGATGGAGTTACACTGCTGAGAAGTTGTATTTATTTGTGATGTTGCTGCATTTATCTGTTAGTTTTCTTTGTGACATTTACTGAATTATGGAATTTACCTATTTATTCCTGTTATTTTTAAATTGTGAAAATAAATAATTGGACTATTTTACGTAGCTCGTCACTACAGCTCAGTTCCTTAGTTATTTCTGTTACTATTGAGTTGGTTGTACTCATACTACACCCTGCATTTTATGTGCAGATCCAGGTGAGTTAGAGCGCGGCGGTCGTTGATTTTAGGCCGTCTATCTAGGGAGATTGCAAGGTAGTTGCCAGCGTCCGCAGGACCTTGTTACTCCTTGTGTCATTTCTTATTTTGGACAGTTAGACAGTTTTTGTATCTTAGTTTATAGTTTTGGACGCTCATGACTTAGTGACACCACGATGTTTGGGGCTAGCTTCCGTATTTTTATATTAATTATATTTAAAGCTGATTTAGTTTATGAAACTTTCAAATATTGGATATGTTTTATTAAATTCTTATAATCGATT